CTCCAGTGCTCCCATTCTCTATCCATTGTATTGTATTTTAAATACATTACTGAAATTATTGAAATAAAAGTAATTATACTGCAAGATTTTGACAAATATGCAGAATTTTGCAGAATTTTAAAATATTGTGTGCAGAATTTTTTCTTATTTGTGCAGCAAAATTTTCAATTTTTTTGGCACAGAGTTTACCCAGGAGTGTAATAGTTCTGTCCCCTTTTTTCTACCTGTCTTTCTGATCTGGTTTCCATGCCATTTATAATCTTTACCCTCTGTTTCTTCTGTTCAAATGCAATAATTCAATGCCATTTTTTCCTGTGTCTAATGTTTCTGATTATTTCAGGTAAACTGAGCAGAATACAGAATGATAATGGCAGGAGAGATTCTCTCCTGGTGATAGCAAGAGAGTTAAAGAATACAGAGGATAAGAAAGGGTCCATGTGGAGCAATTTGAGGAAAATTAACTAGACATGTGCAACTTATGACCAACAAGCCTATTACAATTTTATGGTTCTGTCACACTACAAGCAATTTTTGATTCAGGTGAGCTATAGTCCCAAAGTCCAGACTTTCTGGGTTTTTAACTTTTTCAGCTTGTCATGGCTTTTGTAAGCGGTTCGCTCCAGTGTTGCCTTTTGTTTTGTTTCATTTCCCTGCTCCTTTGATCTTGGAACTGTTGTCACTTTCCAGTGGTGAATATCTAGATTTTTGCTTACAGGGAGGCTTTGAGTAATCATCTGTTGACAGAATCTGAAGCTGTGTGACTAAGGATTGAGGCCTTAAACTAAATAAGGACGGAAGACACTTTGAGCACGAGCTTGATTGTTGTGTACATCTGCTCCTGAACTTCCTTTCCAAAGGTTGTGCCCAGAGCGCATGTACCAAAGAGGTGCAGGTGCCTGACTTCTTCAATAGGATGCCTTTGCTTCCTACTTCATGTGTTTTGGCTGAGATGCTATCAGAAAAATATTGTCATATGAGTTTAGCCTGTCAGAAATGGAGTGCCTGACATTCAGTCTCAACCCAGTTACCAGCAGAGATGGTATCTGTGAGATCCTGTTCCATATGTTGTGTTCGAGAGTAGAGAGGGGGGCGGGTAAAGGTGTCTCTAGAAGACAGTGGTCTTTTAATGGAGCTATCTTTTGCCAAATGACAACAAATGAGAGCCTAAAACTGATTCTCAATTCTAGCTTAGTTACATTAACTATCACGTTGATTTATATGAATATAAGAATGGCCATACTGGGTGAGATCAATGGACCATCTAGCTCAGTATGGCTGTGTCTACATTGGCCCCTATTCCGTAATAGGGATGCAAATGTAGCACTTTGGAATAGGCAAATCCGCAGGGGATTTAAATATCCCCCGCGGGATTTGCATTAACATGGCTGCCGCTTTTTTCCGGCTTGTAGATAAGCCGGAGAAAAGCGCCAGTCTGGACGTGATCCTCCGAAAATAAGCTCTTTTCCGGAGGATCTCTTATTCCTACTTGAAAGATCCTCCGGAAAAGAGATCCTCCGGAAAAGAGCTTCTCTGAAATGTCTTTAATGAAAAGAATGTCAGCTGTAATAAATAATAATATAGTTGCTATTGCTTATGGTTTTAGAGAGGTAAAAGCATCTCCACAGTAGCTAAAGCTGTCCATTGCTTAAGAATGATTGTTTATTTCCAACAAGATCCAAGTTCTAATAAATGGTGTTTTCATTGTTATAGCCTGAACAATCAGAGAATCATTTGTATTGAAAGGAGTGGTAGAAGATCATTTGCCTGAGTCTGTTTTCCTGCATCGTATCAGTGGAGACTTAATTTTTTCTCAGACATCCCTAATAATTCTGTGATAGAAGTGGCAAATTTCCATTTATTGCTATAATATCGCATTCGGAAATGTTTCTAGATCTATATACCTTAGGTGGGGATAGTAGATTATTTATTTATTATTTTATTTATTAGCCACGGCAGACAGATATAGTTTGGTGCTTCTGCTGGATTGTTGAGAATTCTGAACCACGACATACTGATAACAGAAGCACTCATGCTGTTCTAAGCACAAGAAAGGTGATCATAAGAGTGGTGTGTATATAGTCTCCTGGTTGAGGATCCATGGCCAAGTTCATTTTTAGGCTCTCTCAGTGCCCTTGGGCAAGTCGCTTTGCTGCTCTGTGCCTGTTTCTTCTCTCACCCTTCCTACTTTTTGCCTATTTGGACTGTAGGCTTTTTGGAGGCAAGGGCTGTCTCATACCATGTCTGTCGAGGATATGGCACTTCAATCTCCGATGGAACTGATAGGGGCCAGACCTAACACTTCCTCAGGATACCCCAATGCTGTGAGGTATCTCGTTACCATGTGAGGATGCCTTTTCTTGCTCTCTGTGGTCCAGCTGCTGGATCCCATTGGCTATTGACAACACAAGTCCTCCCCTTGAGGCCTCCATAGACCCCACTTCTTCTTAAACAGTGGTCCCCAACCTTTTGGGACTGCTGGACACCAGAGGCCTGGGGTGCAAGAATGGCTCAGGCTGGCCCAGATCAGTCGGCAGGTGCACATAAGTGCCCTGGCAGGTGCCATGGCGCCCGCGGGCACCGGGTTGGGGCCACTGCTCTTAAAGGTTAATGATAGACACACTCTTGCCCCTGAATCCTCTGAGAAACCCTCCATGGCATCCAGCACCAATCACTGACAGACTTACCAGACATGCTTACAAGTTAACTACAGAAACAGCTCAGATTAGAGAAAGCAAATGTCAGCTTATTTAACACAACAGTGCTTCGAACGCTAGCAAGCATAAATATTGCAAGCAAAGGGTTACATGTAATAAAAACCATCATAACACACATATTAAAGCCCAAGCTTAACTAACAAGATGTTCTTGTGTCTCATAAAGGCTGTCTCACCCAAAAGTGTCTCTCTCTGTATTTAACACCCAGGCTAGCAGTACTCTCTCCCTCTCTTTCAGAAGACAAGCATGCCTGCAGCTTGTCTCTTAAGATGGAGATTGCAGAATTTGTCTGTCTCTACATTTACAAGCAAATATCCATTAACTTTGCTTGTAAACAAGGGCAGAGGGTGGAGAGTGGCTTTTTGTACCCTCTTCCCTGTGTGTGTAAGGCTAGAGTTAATCTAACCATGAGTGTGTTATCTCTGTGAGAGTACGTCTACACTGCATGGCTATTTCGAAATAAGCTATCCTAGAAGTAATTCTGAAATACCTTTTTCGAAACAACACATCTATACTGCAGGGAAGCCTCAGAATGAGTCCGAGGCAGGCTTCCCTAATGTAGATGAGCTATCTTGATTTAGAGCCCCAGGAGGAATAACTTAGAACGGCCCTGGTGAGGGGCTATTTCGAAATAGCTGCAGTGGAGCGTCTACACATGTCTTATTTCGAAATAGCTATTTTGGAATAGGCGTGATTCCTCATAGAATGAGGGTTACAGAAGTCAGAGTAAGAAGACATTATTTTGAAGCTATTTCGAAATAATGGAATGGCTGTGTAGGCGGTCACATTGTTAATTCGAAATAAAGCTAGTTATCTCAAAATAATGGTGCAGTGTAGGTGCACCCTGAGAGATTAGCCTCCAAGGTCCAGACAGAAGCAGTGAGCATAGGCTGCACTCAAGACTCAGTCTAAGTTCTGCCTGCCATGTTGTATACAGTCTATAGAGAATGACGCCACTCCCAATAAAATAAATGGAAAGTCTCTTTGACTTAAGGGTGTTGAAAATGAGCCCATAAGAAGGAATGTCGGATGAGCCACAGTGAATCAGATTATTAGTCACTCGAGTCTGGTGTCCTGCTTCAAGTAGCACCCGGTTTTGTACCTGGTTCTTCAGGAAGTTGAAAGTGTCCAATAGTGGGCCTAGTTAAACATGTATGCCCTACTTAGAAGTCTCTTTAGTAATGCTTTGCACAGGCGTGGATGAGAACCCAGAGAGAGAACCTAGAGAACAAACTGAGGTCTGTGCTGAAGACTATTGGAAGGTAGCATCTTGTAAATGTATAGGTACTTAAATTACATTGCAGCTGATAGATGAGAAAGATGGGTTTCTTCCTCAGTTTCACATTAATGGTTCTTTCTGATGATCTTTTAGTTATAGAAACTCTCCCCTGTTTATCTGCTAATTACGGGGGAAGGAAGGCTAACTGTCATAGAACAATTATACGATGGAAAAGATTCCAAGCACTACTGAAAATCTGAAGTAATTCTTCCCAAATCAATGATGTATAACTAGTATAAGATCACAATCAAGCCTATTGTACTTTGAATGTACTGTTCAAGGCAAACGCAATGAGGCAATCAGATTTTGGCAGGCAGCCTACTGAACTGTAAATGAATTGTGTTTGTGTGGAGGTAAATTAGAGGTAGAGACGGCACTTTCACATATCCCTAGAGCCCTGATATTCTTGCACCTCTACCTGTTGCCTACATTTCCTGCACTTCTCTGATTGCAGTCAGAGATGATCACAGGAATCTCCGGAGGAAACCTCCCGTTTTCATGGTCTATTATTGACTGAGTCTAGAAACTCTTTTGAGTCACAGCCTGCTCCACCTCTGAGTTCTCTTTTAGAGCCATTCATTTTGTTTGGTTTAATTCTGAAACCCAAGAAAGAACAAATAAATGAGGATGGGACCTGACCTAAGCTCTGCTGAATTTTGGGGCCATTGAGATGAGCTGGTACCATCAGCTGATGTGCTCAGACACCACAGTACCTAGTTCCCCTAGGTTGCCCCCCTGTAAGGCTGTCTCCAGCCTGCTCCAACTGAGACACAGAGACAGGGCCACACCCATTCGCCTGTGGATATACACTGTAAGCAGCACAGTGTGAGACCTTTTCTCAGCACTCAAGTACACAGCTCCTCTAGGAGCTGAACCCTAGAGAAATCTGTTTGACATCATACAGTGAACTATACAGTGTAAGCTCATGAAATGTGCCCTCTTTCTCAGTGTAAAGAGAGATAGGCACAGGCTCCCTGCTCCCGCAGGGAGTAATTAGTTACACTGGGTTTATTACTAAGCGAAGTAATTTTATGAAGTATGGAAAGATAGAATGTAAGTGGTCATAAGAGGTAGCAGACTCAACAAAGTAAGTAAATGAACAAAATAAACAAACACATAAGCTAAGCTTGCTACACTGAAAAAATAGATACATGTAAGATTTCACCCTAATAAACTTCACAGCCAGGGTCCAGTTCCTCCCCCCAATTCAGTCTTAGTTGTTTCCCACAGTCCTCTTGGGTGGGGTGCCCCTGGCGAACTGACGAACAGGATTACCTCATTTCCACCTTTAAATAGGATTTGCATGAAGCGGAAGTCCTTTGTTTCAAGTGTGACCCCTCTCAGCTTCTTATGGAAAATTACAGCAATCAAGATGAGTTCCACTATCAAGTGACATTGTCACATGTCTCTGTAGCCTTCTTCATGAGCTGACCCTCATGTTCCCAGGAAGGTTAAGCTCTTTTACAAATCATTGTCTCTTGCTAATCGGTCATCAGCACTGTGGCCTCTTCATTGTTTGAAGCATCAGCAGAGGGTGTGATCTGAAGCAGTAGATATGAAATTACAGATAAAGAGCTCAGTAGTCCCAACTTAATCTACAAAAATGATACATGCATACAAATGGGATAATCATATTTAGTAAATCACAACCATTCTAATGATACATTACATGAGCCCTCTTGCACCCATATTCATGTCATAACCGTATTTTTTCATAAAGCAGCTGGAATATTAAGTCACACGGCGCATCTGGAATTAGAACTTGATAACTGATGGCAATGGGCAGAGCAAAACCCTGGTGCTGAAGAGCCTTAATTGTGTTCATTTCTTGGATGTTGACACCTTAAATCCCTTTGTGATCCTTTAGTCTCACTTAGATAACAGACACCATAGAAGTCCACCCCAACCCTTTTTAAGATCTTTAGGAAAAACATACAATCTTGATTTTTAAAATTGCCACTGATGGAGAATTCTCCACAATCCTTGGTAAATTGTACCAATGATTAATTTTATTCATTGTCAAAATGTTATGCCTTATTTTTGGTCTCTTTTGTTTTATCACATTACATCTTTCTCTGAGAGACTCACCAGCCATCTATGAAATATCTGTTTTCCATGTAGGCACTTATAAATGATAATTAAGTCACCACTTAATCTGCTCTTTTTAAAGCTAAATAGATTGATCACCTTGAGTCTACCACTGTGAAGTTGGTTTAGTCATTTAATCTTTCTCATGGCTCTTCTCTGAATCCTCTCCAATTTATGAACATCCTTCTTGAATTGCAGACCCTAGAACTGGATGCAGTATTGCAGTTATGGTCAAATCAGTGCCAAATACAGAGGTAAAATAGCTTCTCTATTCCTATTTGAGGTTTCCCTGTTTATGCATAAAAGGGTGTTAACCATTTTGGCCACAGTGTCATATTGGATGCTCACATTCAGCTTATTATCTACCGCTGCCTCAAAATCTTTTACACAGTTACTGCTTCCCAGGAAAGAGTCTCCTATCCTTTTAAGTGCTGCCTATATCCTTTGTTCCTGTAGAAAGGATTTACATTTAGCCATATTTAAATGCATATTGTTTGCTTGTGCTCAGCTTACCAAGGGATCCAGATAGCTATCCATGACCTGTAGTCTTCATTATTTATTCTTCTTCACATTTGGATCCTTTGCAAATTTTTTCAGTGGTGGTTTTATATTTTCTTCTAGGTCATTGATTAAAATGTGAATAAGAATAGGGCCAAAAATGGATCCCTATAGCTTCTTGCTGGAAACATTGCTGACTGATGATGATGCTTCATTACAATTATATTTTGAGTATGATCTGTTGGCCAGTTTCTAATACATGTAATGTTAATTTTATATTGTTCTAGTTTTTAATCAAAATGTGGGTGATGCCTATAGAAGTCCATCAGTGGTTCTCAACTGGGGGCACACAGAGGCCTTCCGGGGCACATCCACTCATCTAGTTAGTTGCCTACTTTTACAATAGTCTGTAGTAGTCAGGGTTTACTGGCATGCTGTCCATACGTTCCCCTGCTCCATCAATGATGATAACCAGTTGGTTGCATGTGTGTGTGCTTGGTCATGTGTGCCGTGTTGATTTGCACTAGTAGCCAACACAGCAGACTCTGAGAGAGCCTCCAAAGACCACAAAATCAGATAAGGATCAAAGCCGCCCAGACAGGTTTATTGTTAAACAAAGTATAATGAAAGTTGTCAGTAGACTCTACAGAACCAGTGCGCATGCGTACCCTGTAACAAGGGATATCAGTGTGTGATCTGGGAAGATATGGGAATCCATCACTGCCCCTAGATAAAGACTGCGCTTTATACCCAGGGAGAAACAAATTACACATCACTCTTGACATATCAGGTTGCCTCCGTCAGACATTACCTAGAGCCACCCGTTACCTTGTACATGGGGGTTTGATCAGTATCTATCATGCTGTCAGTGTAGACCTTGTCTTGAACCCGGGTCAGCATGTTTCTGTTCTCTGTGGGGAGGGAGGGGTGTTAGTGTGGAGATGTTTTTTTCACAAGGTGTTCTGTTATGACCCGTTTGGAATGTACTTACTGCTTGTGCCCAGTGTCCTCTAAGGTAGGAGTGTTTCTGTAATATCAGCCCTGTTCTTTCCAACTTCTGTGAGCAGGGCCTGCCACTTTCTCACAACTTAACTCTGCTTTATATTGGCAAAGTCTTGACCATTGCTGTCTAGGCCTCAGGTCTCATACCCAGCCGGTGATACCTTGGCTTACGTTTCAGGCCATCATCTTTCAGGCTCCACTTTTTGTTTTTTTCTGGGGAAGATGTTTACCCATCGTCCAAAAAAAGCATAATGCATAGACTGAAGGTGACCCAGTGGGCTAAACACTGTTATGTGGCCATCTTACTTTGTCGCTCACACGTTCATGCCCCATCTGTCCCATAGTCTGTACATTCCCTCATACGACTGATGGACAGGTTTTATTTTCCAGTTGTATTTAGTTCCTTGTGGTGGAAATAATGAATACGGATATGGTATATATATCTGTAATGTATATGGGCACACATATATATTATAGTATGTATGTTTGCATATGACACAACCTTATAATAATTTATTTTCCAATTTGGTATTGTAATTTGGTGTTGTGGTGGTGTGATACTGTAGATAGTAACACACTATTACGAGGGCCTTTATAGTTACCATGTATATGAGTTTTAATAGCAGGCTGAGTGTGTTGAGTTTTAGAATACTGGCATAGGCACTGTTATAGTGTGTCCCACAGGATTACGTATGGGAGAAGTAAAACAGAACTTTTGAGTAGTGACGTTACAAATGAGGGCTTTATATATAAATGTCTTGTGATTAATTACTGAACGGTATTGTCCTTTCCTATTATGGGTTACCCTTACTGATCCAGTTATTTCTTATGGATGCTGTTTTCCAGATAACCTATTGAATGGACATGACTAATTTATTAATTATTGCTGTATTGGGATTTACTGCTGGGAACCAAGACACTGAACAAAATTCTTTAGACTAATGTGTGCCTGAGTTAGGGTGCAAGGTCACTGATCTAAATTATGACTAGTACTAACATTTGTTTACCCAATTTGTAGTTTTATGCAACTTAATTTCTTTCATTTTAAAAAACACCAATTTTTGGTTCTATTTTTTAATGCTGTTTGCTGCCATTTGTTTGTTGATTTTAACTGTGTGTTGGTTAAACAGTTTATCAATGCTAAATGCTATGCACATTGCAAATGCTGTACAGCAATAATACAACAATACAGCAATAATACAATGATACAGCAAACAAGGGCTAGTTTTACATAACGACCAAATTTAACTTAACTAATAATAATTTCTACTTGATTGCCAACTTAATTGTCCATATATGGTAGATTGAGGTGAACAGTCTCTTATTTATAAAGCACTCAGTTTTTCTTTTCTTGATGCTTAGACATTTCTTGACTGTATGCTGTTATCTTCTGGTGTGTTTGTGGTATGATATCTTCTGGTGTCTTTGATCTGGAGGGTGCAACTTTGAACAGCTTAATTTAGTTATCTTAGTAAAAGTTTTTTGTTTGTTTTAAATTTATCTTGTTTTTAGTAACCCAAATTTAATAAACAGGTTAATTTAGTTTGTTTATAATGTAATAGGGACCGATTCTTTTATAATGCAAGATAAACTTTTGCAATTGCTGCACATGCATTTTTTTGTGAGGTGCAGTAGTAATATTTTATACTAAATATAATGCTTAACTGTTAGAATATATACTCACAAACTTCCATGAGAAGGCGTATTGCTTTCCCTTCCAATTTCCTTTAGCATAATATAAAAGAAAATAGAAGTTAGATCAAAACGAATTTTAAAAACAGGTGCATGTAAATACTTTGAGGTTATTAAACTTTCCTGGTGCTTTGTTTGAGTCTCCCAGGTGGAAACCTGTTGGAAAAATTTTCCTGTCCTGAATCTGGGTCAGCATGTTTCTGTTCTCTGTGGGGGATGAGGGGGTGTTGGTGCTGAGATGTTTTTTCACAAGGTATTCTGTTATGACCCGTTTGGAATGTACTTATGGCCTGTGCCCAGTACCTCTAAGGTAGGAGTGTTTCTGTAATATCAGCTCTGTTCTTGCTAACTTCTGTGAGCAGGGCCTGCCACTTCCTCATGGCTTAACTCCGCTTTTAGCAAAGTCTTGACTATTGCTGTCTAGGCCTCAGGCCTCATACCCAGCCAGTGATACCTGGGTTTATGTTTCAGGCCCTCATTTTACTACACAGACTACATAAAAAAATCACTAGCCAAGTCAATACAAACTACAATTTCATTACAGAGAATGGGTTATTTATGCTGTTCTATATACTTTACACTGACATATAAGTGCAGTATTTATATTCAATTGATTTATTTTATAATTATAGGGTAAAATGAAAAAATAAACAATTTTTCAGCGATACTGTGATGTGATGCTTTGTATTTTTATATCCGATATTGTATATAAGTAGATTTTAAGTGAGTTGCAATTTGGGAATATAGAAGGCAAATCAGACTCTTGAAAGAACTGCTGTAGTCTGGGAAGGTTGAGAGACACTGTATTAGATTAACAGTGTCACCTTCCTCAGCCAAACTTGCAATCACATGTAAAAAAATCAAATTATGTTAAAGGATCTATTTTCCATAAACACATATTGATTGGCATTCATTATATTATCCATCTCTAATTCTTTATTAATTGAATACCATGTCAGTCACTCATTATCTTGCTAATGATCAATCTCAGGTTAACAGGCCTCTAATTACTTGGTCCATCCGATTTTCCCCTTTTAAATTCTGACACAGCTTTAGCTTTCTACCAGTCTCCTGGAACTTCCGCAAGGTTCCAAGACTTTTCAAAATCAACATTAACGGTCCAGCAAGTTCCTGAGCCTGCTCTGAATGGCTCGGACACATTCTGTAAATATCTAAACACAAGAGTTCAAAGTGAGCTGCTTATTCCCAGAAATCCTGGGCTGTCCCCCCATTGTGCATTCTTGCTGGGAAGGATGAGGGAAAGCATAGCAGGAGTGTCAGCTCGGAGAACCTTGACATTTCTCTAACTGCCTGGCCGCCCTTACTTTGGTCTTGGTAAGGACCCTGTTCTGAAGGAAACAATTCATTCTGTGACCAGATTTCCAGAAACCACCGCAGCAGAAAACGTATCCAGAAACAGAGTTTGGCTTGAGTATGTTAACTGCAAGCCACTCCTTCTACGGCTCACTGCTTTGCAGGCACCTGCTCTTGGGCTACAACTGCATGGAGTGCCTTCTGTGGTGGAAGTGAACTTGGGATTTTCTTTGCCTATGAAAATAGCAACAGTTTTAACAGGGGAGCAGCTTTTTCATGGGAACCATAGTTCAAGAAAACGCACCGGCTTCTGCTTGCACCCCATAGGAAATAAGAGAATCGAAGTTAAATACTATAAAAGACGGCGGGGATAACAGGAGTTTATCCTTCCCCCAAATCTGCAAGAGGTGATATAAGGGTAGAAGAAGGAAAGGAGCCAAAGAAGCAGGCAACATGGAGTCCTCTACAAAAATCAATAACCCCGCAGACATTATGGTCATAGTAATCTATTTCTTGGTAACCCTGGCCGTGGGGATATGGGTAAGTCTGCATTTTTCTTTCTTAATGAAAATGTAGTTTACTGGATTCTAGGAAAATGGCATCGTAAATTAAAATTACAGTTGTATAAATTGCCTGCTGCTTCACTCGGGAGGGAGGGGTGTGTGGATAAAAAGGTGGCAGGATGGAGATGATGTTGGGATTCTCTGGGGAAGTAAAACATAGTATGAGGCCTGGATTGTGAGCGAACAGGATGGAGGTTGTGATGAGATTTCTGGTAGCAATGGACTCTGGGGCGCTGGAGCAGAGGAGACTGCTCTGGGGATTGGCAGTGGTGTAGGAATTGGGATGAAGTGCGAGAGGAGGGGTAAATGGGGGTTGCAGTGGGGTGAACTGAGATAGGAAGGGGGTGAGCACTGGATTGAACTGTAAATGGTGGGGACGAGAGCAGAGCTGAGGGTGGAGGAGAGACAGTAATGGAGCGGCGGATGGGCATTGCTGCAGGATGGATGTGAAATGGATGAGACCCCAGACGTGGTCTGGACACAGGAGAAGGACAGCTTTCTGCCGAGAGGATTTCACTGAAGCTAGTCTCCAAAAGGCTAATGCGGCTTAGAGTCACAGCCCAGCTGCTGGCAAACAAATTGTTAGTTTAGACAAGTCCTGAGGGGGGAAAAAACCCAACTCTTTCTTACCTAATGGGCAATGTAAGTCTAGAGACGGAATTGTTCAGAGGGAAAGGGCAGAGAGTGTTTGCATTGATGCTGCCTTAGTGGAGCGCACGTGTGTGCCACTAGGTTAAAGAGCTGATGCCCCTTTCAGGAGCAGAGTGTGTTCTCTCGGAGGAGAGATCAGAGACCGTCCTTGGGGAGAATTCTGCTCGTCCCTTGGAGAAGCCAGCAGCAAGCAGAGCGAGACAGGGAGCCCTGCCCTTCAGCGGCTGTGCGCTCCCCGGAGATCACCAGGCGTCCATGCCCGAGAACAGAGCAGGCAGCTGCAGACAAAATCGTCTGCATTAGCAGCCTGAGTTTTGAAAAGTGATTTTAACTTTGGAGGCCTGTGAACTAGTTAATGTTTGTTCAGCACTTTGAAGTCGTGAAGTACCTGCCCCAGTCCCTCTGGCTGAGTGAATTGGACACCAGGGGTTGGACTGTACCAGACAGCCTGTCCTTTTATCCTCTGCCACCTGCCCCCCAAGGCCAAACACAAGTGAGGTCCCAGACCTTTCATGAAACTGTTTCTTCATTTCACATCCGTGCTGGGGTGCAAACAACCTCAAAAAGAGCCGGGAAGAATGAGGAAAAAGGCAGAACCATGAGCCCCGCATCAGCCCACACCAGCTAGCCAGGCTGCCATAGACCCAGGCAGATGTAGCACGCTCTCCTCTAAGGAGCGGTGTAGCAAAACACTTCCTTTGGCTCTTGGGGAGCTCTGAGAGGGAACCAGGCTTGTGCCTTACAGGTACAATGTGACCTGAATTTTGATTATTGTAATTTATTAATGACTGTAACTCTTTGTACCATGAACTCCTGGGGCAGAAGAGGGCTGGCAGGTGGCAGGTCAGGCACCGAAGTGTGGAAGTTTCTGCATGTTTAGAATAGTTGCTAAGAAGCCTAATGTTAAACATCTCTCCATGGCAATGTTGTCTGTTTCCATTCAGCCATTGTATGTAGTGAAATGTGTCCCTGTTTATTGTCTTGTTTCTCTTTTGGGATCAATGATCCTGCTCATTTTTTGCTCGCACCTTTTCTGGGTCTGATCCAAAGGAATGGGAGTCTCGTTATTTGCAAATGGTTACGGGTCAGGCCCTATGAAAAGTGTGAGGGAAACTTCCTGTGAAGTCACTCCTGACATGTGAAATGAGAAGGGAAATAATTCTTCAGTGGCTACATTGTGAAAGCGAAGAAAGGTTAGAAAGTGCAGTGTGGTTACTTAGGTGATATTATCAGACCAAGAACAGGTTAATTGCCATCAGGTGGTTTCCTGTAAGGAAGTTTGGCGCCTGCTAATATTGAGTAAGAAGGCTAGGTAAATTAGCTGTAGTGCATGACCATAAAGCTCACTACACTTGCAGTTTTACACCCTGCTCCCCTGAAGGAATGCTCCCATGAGTGACAGCTTGCAGGCAAGGCCTTTGTGGTCACTGAGGAATTTCTTGTGTTTTATTTTTATTGTACAATTGTTCTTGAACATGTGTGGTGTTTAGAGCTGGGTTTTGCAGGCTTCCTGTGATGAAAATTAAAGCAATTACTCTTGAATGGTTAATTGAGGGTATGTCTTCACTACAAAGTTAATTCAAATTAACAGCCTTTATTTCGAATGAACTTTAATAGCATCTACACAACCAAACCGCTATTTCAAAATAAATTTGAAATAGTGGAGCACTCATTCTACAAGGAGTAACAAATTCAAAATAGCTATTTCGAATGAAGTGCTGTGTAGACACTTATTTCAAAATAGGGGGCCTCCAGCCTTCCCAGGGAGCCCTGGTGGCCACAATCAGGAAAACTTACTCTCCTCTCCCGCAGCCCCGGAGCCATTAAAGGGGTAGACCCTGGCCACAGTGCCTGGGCCAGCTCACAGCCCGGC